TCTTTCCGTGTATTTTTGAATAGCCATCGCAATGGTGTTATTTTCACACGTGAAAATAACATGTTATTTTCACGTGTGAAGATATCAATTTTTCGAAATAGAGAAAAATAGATATTTCATTGGTAATTATATAATAAATATATATAATATTGTAAATATCTAATATTTTAATTCAATTGTATTTTAATGTTTTAACTCAATTCAGCTTTTGAGCCGTAATTTTTAGAACTTAATAAACTATCTAATCTAATCTAATCTATCCAAAATCGACAGGAGAGCGAGAACAACGAATTATGGAATCAGTCTAATTGTATCAGAGGTTGGGTGCACTTTACTGAAATTGGAAGGACATAACACTTTACATGCCTTCAAACTTCCAGCAATTCAGCTATGACGTGATATTAATTGGAGCCTAGCTCCGTCGCGTTGACCCTCACCTACTGTAAATTCAGTATCTTTCTCAAAAAAAAAAAAWTTTTTCGTTAGGTCAAAGTTAAATAAATGAATACATTTGAATTCATTAAAATTTGAAATCTGCAACTAAATCTATAACGATTTCGGCTGTTTTATCAAGGGATACTAAGATTATAAAGAAATGACGATGATATGAAATGATATGAAAATGATATGCAAAAAGTCTTCTATTTTTCTGCTTGTATGATTAGCAGCGTGAAGGCTATAAGGATATTTCATGGTTCGTCGCTCTCGACCAAGCAATTCAAGGATCGATTAAAACAACAGTATATACAACAAAGATTACAAATATTGCATGGAACAAAAAGTATTCATGGCACGGCTTAAGCCAACTTAAGTCCACTTCTCACAGAAAGGTTAAACGTCAAGTCACCAAAAATACATTACAAACTTTACTAATACTATTATAAAACTTACTTGAGTGAGCTCCGTTTCACGGTCTTCTTGACGATTTTACCTCCCACAGTTTTTCGCTTTTCACAGTTTTTGAAACGTAGCCTTAGTATAAACGCATCGAGAAATAATAGAATCTCTCCCTCCCAGCATTATTCATGCTAAATAATCGTATGTGGTAACCGATAAGTCCATTTTTACTTGAAGGAAAGACCTAAATATTTACCGACGCTCCAAATATCTAAACAAACGCTATCTGTACTGCGCTTGCGCCAAACAAACCGAGCGAATTTTGTTGATTGGTCTCCCTGTGGTAATGACGTTTCTCACGAACATGATTTTCCGCGAAACATATATAGCTCAAGTAAATATCAAAGATGGCGGCATTTTAAACAACTCGCATCTCGCATTTTCATCAACTCGCATGTCGCATTTTAAACAACTCGCATCTCGCATTTTAAACAACTCGCATCTCGCATTAAACAACTCGCGTCTCGCATTAAACAACTCGCATCTCGCATGTCCCCTAGAAGCTTCCGTAAGTAACTCCCAAAAGAATTCCTCATTCCACATTTCTCCGCAACATCTTAGTTCTCTAATAATTACTGATCTTAT